GTTTGGTGGCTTAGGTATGTGAACTGATGACAGCCTCTTCAACCTACCTACCTATCTTAGAGAAAATGTATGTAATTGTGTGACAAATTTCAATATACAGCACCATGAAAGGTTGAAGGAACCTTAAAAAGGTCTCTATACCATCTCTATGTATATTACCAATATCAGAAAAACTGAAAAGTCCAACGGACTGTCGTCGGATGTCACCTTAATTCTCTCACTGCCAATCTAAATCTAACCTCATTTTGGTTGGTTTGCACGAAAATTCGTTTTAAAAAATGCAAATAACGCAGCGCTGTCTTGATGTATGACCAACTTTTCACACAGAAAAAAAGACAAAAAGAAAATAAACGAGGTAAGTAGTTGGTGGCAATAACAGTAATGAGAGGACTGTCAGTGTGTAAGCCTGCTGAATTGAAAATAACATTTTAATTTTACTTTGGTTAACAAATCAACAAACATACTACTACTAAAGCGCTACAAAGTACATATTAATTTATGTGTTTTTGTTTCTCTTTTTTTAGTTTTTTTTTCCTGTAGATATGCTGATCTGTTCGAGGTGTTGCAGCCAAGCGCCAAAGGGTAATTAAATATTTTCTGGGAGTGCGAGTATGCAACATGAATAACTACAGGCCTATTGAGCAGAATACATATTTACATATATATATGTATATATACATGTATGCTGCTAGCAAACAAATAGTGAACTTTCGAGAGAAAGGCCAATACAACATACAAACATATAAACTTTCATATATTTTGTTATATGTATGTAAGCAAAAAGAAGAAGAAAAAAAAACAAAAACATCTTAGACAATGTAACAGTAAAAGACACATTGTGGCTAAATCTACAATTGAAGGAAATTTAAAGAAAAGGCAAAAATACAAATCGCCGCACATACTAGTAGGTATGTACATATATATATATGTATGTATAATTGCATGTTTGTATGTTTGCATAAACTCAAATGCCAGCACACACATACCCAATTTTTGTTGATATTGTATACATATACGAGGGGATCAACAAAAGTTCGGTAAGTTGATTAGAAAAAACAACAAAAAAATTTTTTTTTTTTGTATGTTTTCGTAATCTTTGCCCTTTTTTATCTTCTTCACATAAGCGCCAAGATTTCATTGCACTTTTAAGACTGTAGATCGACTTCTGAAAACAGTCTCCAAAATCATGCTTTTTAAGCTTATCAAGTCAACGTTAACCGCATTAATTATCCCCTCCTTCAAAGCTTTTTTTATTTAATTTTTCAAAATAACCAAAAATCACCAGGTGCTGTATTCGTGACATATGGTGCTGAAGGCATTTCTTCGATCCCAGAGATCGCTATAAAATTACTCGTTATTTCAGCAGTGTGGGATGGCGCGTTAACAGGATGTAAAAAAGTGGCGCCACAAATACTCCCGCCTCCCGTTTTCCAAAAAATTTTTTTAAACTTTTGGTAAGCACTCTTCGGTGTACCATTTCGCAGTTACCGTCTGACAATTTTCCAGTGGAATACATACCAGCTCCCATTTTAAGTCGGGTGAAGTAAACTGTCATCATTACTTTTGCTACATGTTTTTGTTGCTTAGATTTTAAGGGTGGATTTTCTGTCCTATTCGGATGCATACAATAGACTGCTGTTTCGTTTCTGGATCGTACTTATAGAACCAAGATTCGTTAACAGCAACCACTTTACTTAAGTAGCTAGACTGACCATTTTCGAATTTGTTTAGGAAAAATTGAGCAAAATGCACTCGAACCTCTTTTTGTGTCTCATTTAAAATTCGTGTCACCCAACGAGCAGATTTCTTCGTTTATCCCAGATGATTACTTAATATTCGCGATATAGCCATTGGACTCAAGTTCATTGTTTTAGCAATCATTTCTTGTGTCAATTGTGGTCTTCGTCAGTTTTGGATTTTAACAGAGTTACATTGAAGACGTCAGTGAAAAATTTTGGTTGACCTTCTTGGGGCTCGTCCTCTACGGAGAAATGTCCGATCTGTAGTCTCTGGAACCACTTACCAAATAGTCTTTAAAAACGGTGCAATCGTTCCATATGAAATTTGGCATGCACTGAATATTTGTATTGGCTGTAAATTACGCCAAAAACCGAAGAGAATCTTATGGCAAATTTCTGTTTGCGTTGGTGGTGGAATTTCGACTGACCTATCCTCAGCTATCTTGCATTTTTTCGTCTCTATTTTGGCCGATCATTATAAAATTTGACAGAAAGACTAATATAAAGTTATTGCAAAGGACAAAAACAAATTGAAAGTCAACAACTGATTGAACTTTTGTTAATCTCCTCGTACATATGTGTATTTATGTTTTTTTTTTTTTATTAATTTATTTATGGTTAGCATTTTGTTTGGGAGAAAACGCATGTACATATACATAAACATTTGTATGCAGAAACGCAAAGCAAAACAACGCTTTAAAGCATACAAAAGACGCAACAGTACAACAATGAATGCAAGCGCGACAGCTGCGCATGCGCAGTGCATGCATTGGTCCCCAGTGCTGGTAAACTGCCAAGCGGTTTGCATTTGGGCATCTAAATTGGTGCTATGGATTGATACATGTATGGCACATGCCATCATGGCACTTTTGTATGTATATAAATATATATACTAGCGCAGCACGTTTGTGTGCTACTCCTTTTGTAGTCATTGCAGACGTACGAGTATTCCCTATAGTAAAAATAAAAGTTAAAATAAAAATATTTTTTATTTAATCTCGATTATCGATTTCGAACAGGTGCTGAGCTTCGACTTTTACCTTAGAAGACCTTTTGTTGGTAGCTTATACATTTGAAAAGCAATTACTGCGCGTACAGTGAAAAACTAAACAAAAATGAAAGGTCACAATTTCGATTTCAATCAGTTTGAAAATAACACAGATCGGCAACAATTTTTGCCTTTCAGTTTTGAAGACAGATTTAAATAGGTTTAGAGACTCTGATGACGGAAAAAGTAATGCAGAAAACTCCATCGAAACAGGGCAGGGTGGGCAAAGAATTTATCTTCGGCACTACTGCCGATAAATTCAGCCTTCATGACGAAATATCCCGAAATGGGTTGAGACCCATCGACTAGACCGAGGCGATATGGTCCTCTCTAACACCAGACTCTCACACACAAGACAATTCCTCAAGCCACAATCTGTCAACCGCTCATATTGATATGCCTCCAGCGTTCTAGATGTGTGTACGTTTCGATTGACTTGAACTATTGATTTCTAAGAGCACTGAGATGGAATTTCAAACGTCCACTAACAGCTGCAAACGAGGATAAGTTTTTGACAAGGTCAAAGGAGAGCTGGGTACGATTACCATACTGCAATGGAGAGAAAAATGGTAGAGATAAAGAGATATGAAAAGGAGGGTGATAGTCATTTGCGTGTAGAAAACTGGAAAGTCCCAACGGTGTGACTTACAAAGAGCTCGAGAAGATGTTTGAGAAATTTAACGCACTAAAAATAGATGAAAAGATGACGTGAAAGTTTCAAGACCGGAGTATACCCTACACGGAGGTAATCTGGTTACCAATGTCAATACCATAGTGAGTATATTGAGGGATCCCTTCTTCAGACTGCTGCAAGGCAGTGAAAATGGAGCACTCATAGATGGTTAAACCGATTCTCCAAATCCGACTACGAGCATGAGATCTGCTTACATAATGAGTATTTTTACAGCATATAGTCGGATGCATTGGCTCACGGCTTCAGACTAGATGCCATCATATAGTGCGGATTCTTTAACTCAAAGCTGGAGCGAAAAATACAAGCAGTAGAGCTTAATAGCGAAGAATATGTGGCAAATGTCAATGAGATGAGACCCACCGGCCTCAACAACCGCGGCGTAAGTTTTGCTTTCTTCAGGCTGAATTGGGAAGTGAGGTGAATGGGTACGATAGTATCGGGTATATCTCCTGTCAACAAACAAACAGACATCGCAATAGCGACTCGGCTCCCACTTCACCGTTGATAGTCATAACTTTGAATCAGCATCAAGACCAACAAAATTGCCAGCATTGAATTGCTCTGGATTGCACTGGAAGCGGTTAAAGTATGGTCGAAAGGAAGGTTTTACGGGAAATTGATCATTAGGAATGCCGAATATCACTGATGTTGGAATTATGAGTTGTCCAAATACCCGCTGGTGGAAACAAAGGAGGACAAAAAACTACATTTTATTGGACAGATGAGGCGGATAATGTTGTGAACCCACTTGGTTCCTCCAATTAAGAGAAGGTACGAATGGCGCGCCGTTGTTAACTTGGTTTTAGCCGCTTAAACGGTGTTCGCACAAAATTAAGAAGAAGTGGAGTTAAAGTTTAATTTATATCTATGACCTGTCTTCAGCTAACTGTAGGTATGGTATCTGCATGTTGAGGACATATTTTATTTTAAAAATATTAAAAGTTACATGTTATTATACAAATCAGAAATCTAAGTGCCCCCATTAGAGTATTTCCACTTAAAATCATATTGTTGAAATGCAACTTGTCACAAACACTCAAAACGCATCTGCAAAACACATTGACGATCACAGCCACAATGCATTCGAGTATGTATTTAAACAAGTGCCCTGTAGGGAAAAGCCGAAATAGTATGCCAAAATACTAGTTAAATACCAGTAATTTGAACATGACTTCATATTAGCGCCTTAGCTCCACCATTCGAGCCTCGCTGCAGACAAATTAATTTGTGTTTTCATTCGACAAAGTAGAAATTCAATATACCTAAATAAACTAGTATACAACTAGTATAAAGTTGATGTATAGTCGGATAATTGATAGTTCGTAGGACATCGCTGTGTTAAAAATACCAGTTGCTTACATCGGCAATAGATTGAAGATGCATTAGTCAGTGCAAACCAATTGGATTCTAGTCAACAACTAGTATTTTTCCCTGCACGGTATGTACAGATATCAGTAGATACCATCACATTTTTCCGCTACTCACTGTGCGTATCTACGCATTTACTATAACATGCCTATTGCAATGGTGCTTACTATGAGTAACTTACCTTGGTGTGCAAGAATGCCAGACTCTTGTTGACATTTTCGATTTTATGTACACGCATCCTACCGCTATTCGGCTTGCCCAGTTTCTCCGACGATATGATCTCCAGCAGCTTAAGTAATTTGATGCCATCGGCTAGATCTGTGAATAGGTCTTCGACCTCCATTTTTGCCTGCGACAAAAAGAAGAAAAAATTAAAAAAAAAGCACAAAAAAGAAACTCAACATTGAAATGTTGGAAATATGGAAATGAAAAATGATGTAAAAATAAAAAGTTGTGTAATTAGTTAATCATACTTATTGTCAGTCAGTAAGCATATTTTAATTATTTTATTTGTTTTGTGTATTTATTTGAGTAGGTCTTTAAGAATCTTCACATATGAAGTTGCTATTTATGGCTTATGAATGTGCAAAAACAAAATTATATAGTTTTTATATACATACATATGTACATATGTTACTGTTAGCATTTTCTTCTACCTCAAGTAAAAGTTTCGACATTTTGTCAGCTTAGAATGCAGCGCTGAGAATGAAGAAACAAGTAACTGTCTTCTAAATTTCAATAGGAAAGAGGTTAGGACTTGTTAGCTTTATGGTTCGAGTAGTATAGAAATTGTTATTATAGAAGCAAGTAATCGATATTGGATGCTCGGCTGATTTAAGTCACGGATCGATTAAAAATAGGTTTGTTATAAAAGGGTTAGGCCTGTTTCTGGAACCATGTCAGCTATTTTTGGTATATATAGCTCCTACTCCGATTCGTTTCTTGTGTCTTAATGATTTTTCTCAACAAAATGAAGGGACCTATAGTTTACACTAAGCCGCCTTCGAACGTCCGATGGACTTTTATGAAGATATTTTCTTTCATGTCAGAAATACACTCGGAAAGCTGTTGGTCGGATAAAAACTCAGACCCTGTTTTTCCAAATGGTAGTATGCACTGCTAACCACTAGCATAACTACGATGTTTTGGTAAGGTTCCGTTGATTAATGGCTGGAAAATTACATCTTGAATCGAGCGGTGTCTAAAAAGAAGGAGGATTGGTTCGACATCAATATAAAACCCCTGTTCATACTAGACCAGCTATAGCTATGAAATTTTAACCAATTCTCTTCAGTTCTCACTTGAGGTATTATGTGCACGGGTTGAAGGACCTACAGTCGGTCGAAGAGATAGACAAGGCTGCACCGTTTCGGCTCGTCATTCCATTGAACTTGGATATATTGGATGATTCAAAAAGTTTCCACAGGTTTTACCACTGAATAGTATTAATATCTTTATTTCGAACATACATCATCTGACTCTCATTTGCTAAGGTCTCTGCAATACTTTCTTGAGGCTAAAACATTTACGTAGCGAAAGTCCGGTGAAAATCATTTGGTCAAGTTGTTCTCTGATAAAGTTCTGCACTAATGGAATTATGAAGCAAAAAATAAAATGGCAAAAGGTCATAACTAAAAACGGAAAATATACATTTGATTAACTTTAATTTTCAAACAAACGAAATATTAAAAAAAACATCCTTTTTAATTATTCATTACAATACATATTTATTCCGAGTACAGAGTACAGTCGGGAATAAGAGAGGAAATATGGTTTACTCATTATCTGGATGTATTGATTTCATACCGTCTGAACTCATAGCATAACTTTTACTAACTGAGCTATGAATACAGACCGTTCTGTATCTGTGTAAAGATCAGCTATGCTCTGAAACAGCTAGAGTAGCCTCTTCCCCGCTTTCAGATGATTCGAATAAGCAAACGTTCAACATTCAATGAAAATAAATATTTTCGTTTTAAAAACACACAAATGAGCATTAGGAGGCTGTTGAATTTCAGCTCATCGTGACTTATTGAACAATTAGAGTTAAGTCATTAGCGAAAATCTATTTCGGATCACGAACAGGTGGTAAAAATTGGTTAGAAAACACTTCCTTCCGAATAAAGTCTTTTCCACAGCATTCAAAAAGGAAAGGAATCGGAGTTTTGATTAATTCTCAAAGTCTCGAGATCAGAGAAACAGCTCATATAACACTATTTCACCTTCCAGAATCATATCCAAGGTATTAGGCGACGGCAGAAGACGATATAAGAAAATTCCCGTAATCCTAGTGTAAGTCCCAAGCAGATCTTCTCAACAACTGATCTAAGGCAATTATGGGTTTTAGAATAACTACTAAAAGCATGAAAGAACTGTTGTTTCTAATGGTTTTTATTAGGTTTAAACAATTTTCGACCGACCGTGGTCCGACCAGCATCCAAAATTATAGAAATTTAATTTTTCTAATTGCGGTCGCACCTCGATAGATAATGTCAAGCTCTCAGCGTGTATTTTTGACATGAAATAAAAGCTCCACGTAAAAATCCATCGTCTGTTCGGAGGCAGTTCCTTCCGTTGTTTGTGAAAACTTCAAGACCATATATAATATATAATCCATTTTCGGAGGCCAAAAAATCTAATTTTTTAATGCTACGAAAATTTCTTTGGACTTAAAGATCATTGCAGTTTATTACGACTCATAAATAAAATTATTAAAATAGCACCTCCCTGCCATTAAAATAATTTAAATAATGATTTTTCATTTACCTTTATCAAAAATGAATTCATCCATTTTGTAAAAGTCTTCTTTTGTATGTGTAGACGTTCTTCTTGTAGCGTTTTGATACGTTCATTTTCGAATTTGATTATACCATCGCGCTGATTCATGGTGGCATCTTTGCGATTTTGTGCCTGCAACGAGTAGCCGCCGGGTTCATATTGTGATGCTAAAAGTGAAAGAGAAGAAATACAAAATTATTATAGAAGTATGAATTTTTTAATAAAAAATATTTTTCAAGAAATTTTCACTGACTTATTAAGAAGTATTTTTCGATTTCCGTTTGAAACGTTTTTGTACCCAAGTTTATTGACTTTCAATATTGCTCAACAATGAGATATATGAAAAATCGAAGAAAGATTGTCTATAAACAATTTTTCTCAAGCATTCAAGAAGCCTTGATATTTTAAATATAATATTATTCAGAAGATCATTTTTAATCATCATTTTTAATCCCCAACAAGAATTTCTCAGAAACCCTCAACTACTACGCGTCATGATCATCTTTCGCCCATAGCTACATAATGCGCACCGTTAAGTGCATGTAAATGTTTGCATTCCAATATTATTTGTTTACGTTGACTTTATTATTGTTTATAGAAAGCATAAAAACAACAATTGCCAACAATAAGATAAAGTTAAAGGTGGAATAACTAAAAAATAAATAGACCACCATCAAGTCAACTTAACAAAACCACAACAATAACAAAGAAACACAACTGACGACGATGGAAGTACACACAGAGCCATAGACAATAACAATAATAACAAAGTAACTGAATTGTTGGTAATGTATAGCATAAAAAAGTTAATGTAAATGTACGCTTCTATGTACGCATATGCGATATATACGTGCATACATGGTGTGTTATATCATATCTTTGGTGTCGCAAACTGAATGTGCTACACATTAAAATCTCTTCGGAAGCCATACAAGAGCGACGCTTCCCAAGTGAACAATGTGGTGCTCTTGCGGAAATGACAAAAAAATCGATAGTTACATACAATAAAGAAATACAATACAATAAATTGTTGGTTTGTTTTATTTCATTTTGTTCTATTTTATTTTATTTCATTTAATTTTTAATTTTTCTTACAAATAATTTGATTTGATTTTAATCTCCTTTATTATTTCTCTTATCAAAATTAGCTATAATTTTTTTTTTATTTAAGTTCATTTTATATATTTTGTTAAATTAATTCATTTGATTATATTTGATATTTTTTTAAAATTATTTAATTTTATTTTATCTCATTATATTTTATTTTATTTTGTTTAATTTAATCTAATTTAATTTAATCGTATTTCTAGTTTTTTTATTTACATATGTTTTATTTTATTATGCTTCATTTTATTTGGTATTATACTACTTTATTTTTTCTTTTATTCAAACAATTCTAATTCTTTTATTTTAATTCACATTATTTTATTTATTATTTTATTTCAGTTTTATTTATTTTATTTTAATTCATTTGATTTTATTCATATTTTCATTTTTTTATTTTTTAAAAATTTTACAAGATTTTTTTCTCTTATTTATTGTAAATTGTTTTTACTTCATTCAATTTTTGTTCCAAATTTTATTTTATTTTATTTTATTTCATTTAATTTTAACATTTATAACATTATTTTATGCAATTTTTTTATTTTATTAAAATTAGTTTCCCTTTATTCAAATATTATTTTTTTTTACTTTATTCCATTTTGTTTCTTTTTTTCATCATTTATATTTTTATTATTTAATAATGCTAATTTAATTTTATTTTTCCTTTTATTTATATTAATTTTACTTCATTCAAGTGATTTTTATTTTTTTTTTAAAATTATATTTGATTTTATGCAAATTAATTTTTTTATTTTATTAACACTGAAGGAAGTAAATCAAAAAATTTTTTTTTATTTTATTTCATTAGATTTGTACCTATTTACTTTTTATTTATTTTTAATTGTATTTAAATTTATGCAATTTTTTTTTTTATTTAAAAAAGTTTTACTTTAGTGAAATTTTGTTTTTATTTTTTTTTTATTCAGTTTTATTTCAGTTGATTCCTATTTTTTTTTAACGTTTGATTCTTTTCAACAATTTCTTTTATTTTACGAAAATTTGTTTTTTTTTTCTTTTCCTTAAATAAGTTCCAATTACTTAATTTTATTTCATTTCATTTTATATACTTTTTTTAAATTAATTAATTAATTTATTTTTTCTTTTTTTTTTTTTATTTTATTATTCAACTATATTCTGTATTGATTTGTTTTGTTTTAATTTATTTTATTTTTTTATATTATTTTATTTTATTTTGCTTTATTTCAATTTGCTTTGTTTTGTTGTATTTTATTTTAGTTTACTTTATTTTGTTATTTTGATTTTTAATATTACTTAATTTAATTTAATTTAATTTTAGTTTACTTTACGAGTATTTTGTTGTGTTTTGATTAATATATTTTATTATATATTTTTTATTAAAATGAAATTTTGTTTTTTTTTAGTATTTCCTTTTATTTCATTTCTAATTTTATTTCATTTTATATTATGTTAATCCATTTTTTTCTCTTTTCTAAATTGAATTCTTATTTTTTTTAAATTATCTTTAAATTTATTTATTTGAACTTTATTTATTTTTTTTATATTTTTTTATTTTATTTCGGTTAAAGTTACTTGTTTTCTTATTTATTTGTTTAATATTTTTTAAATTTATGTTATTATTTTTTAATATTTTCTGATTTAATTTAATTTAATTTATTTTATCCTAATTTATTTTTCATAATTTATTTTACTTAAATTTATATTTATATAATTTTTTTATTTTATTTAATTTAATGTTATTTTTTCCATTTCTATAATATTATACAGTTTTTGTTTGTTTTAAAATCATTTTTTTACTTTATTTTTTAATTTATTTCATTTTATTGAAAAGTTTGGCTCTATTACTTTATTATTCTACACAGAAAGAGGAAATTCAAGAGAATCTGAGCTACCGAACGAACGAATTCCTAAAACAACGTGAATAAAATTTCCATTGAATTAATTACTACTTTTTTTTTTTAACAACTTTTCTATTAAATCGTTATGCAGTTAAAAAACAAAACATGCACAAATATTTGTAAATATGTGTGTACATTCGATTTGAAACCGCTGAATACCTCACCCAAAACCACTAAATCAATCAATCAAAAACAAATACCCAACGAAGAGTCTGCCTGACAATAGAGCGACCGATAATTGCTGAGCCAACCGGTAACGCACGCAATTTATGAGGAGATGCTGCTGTAAATTATTTATAAAAGCACATACTTATAAAAAATGTTTAACTGAATAAAAGAAGTTTTTATTTATTTTATGAAACGTCAAATTTAGGAATGACCTTGAGTATTTAATGAAAATATTTCGACAAAACGTTCTTGACGCTTAGTAGTGGCAAAGCGATAAACGGAAAGGCGAAATGTAAAGATTTGAAATAAAAAAAATAATCAGTCACTAACTGTTATGCACTCAAACATACTTTGAATTTATACATACATATGCATGTCTGTACATACAATTATTTTATAAATTTGTGCACATGTTTACAGTTAATTTGTCATCTATCAAGTGACTGAAAATAATATCATATTCTTACATAATAACTGTGAAACATACATACATACATATCTACATACAGAAGAAAAAAGCAGAAAAATATAATTAACGTAAATAATTTTATATTTCGAAAGCAATACAAATGATAAGCCAAATTACTTTCGTGTATATGTTATCAAGCTATATATGTACATATGTATGTATGCTAATTAGAAATTTGAGCTTCCAATAATTTATGAAATAAATATTTTGAAGCTTGTTTGAAATTATTATTATTTTTTTACTTTTTGCTTAAAGCTCACTAATCATAGAGATTCTGAGTCATAGTTTAGTCTATGATTAGTAGAATGATGGAAGAAATCGTTTTATTACTAATACATCTATTCATAACTTTATTTCCGTACGCAAAGAGAGAGAGCAGTGATGACACATTTTTGTCTCTTATACATACAAATGTACAAGTATAACCAAAGTGAAAGAGGTAAGATAATAAAGTAAATATCAATAAAACAAATATAAAATAAAGTAAAATAAGATTAAATGAAATAAACTAAAATAAAATAAANTAAAACAAAATAAAATAAAGTAAAGTAAATAAGATTAAATGAAATAAACTAAAATAAAATAAATTCAAATAAAATAAATTTAATTAAAATAAAATTATAATAAATTAAAAATAACTTAAACAAAAGAATAAAAATAAAATTAAATTAAACAAAAAAACTAAATTAAATAAAAAATAATAAAAAAGGTAAAATATTTACAAATATAAATGAAAATTATTTAAAATTCGATTGAATAAACTATAATAAAAATTGTAAGATAAAATAACATAAATTAATTGAATATAATTTTTTAATTTCCTCCAAACTCAAAATATATAAAATGGAAAAAAGAAATTGAAATAAAATAATAATATTAAATAAAATAAAGAATAAAATAATAATAATTGAGAAACGAAATGAAATAAAATAAAATAAGGTTTTTAATTTGGAAGAAAATAAAATGAAATTAGTAGTTTTTAAATAAATAAAAAAAGAAAAAAATATAGAATGAAATAAAATAGATAAAATAAAATAAAACAAAATAAATAAAATTAAAATTAAAAAAAATTAGGATCTATGGGCTCAGCAGTATAACATCATCACTGAAAACATGAAAAGACTGCATTGCCCGTTTTTGACTTTCGGTAAGTCTCTGACAGATAGAAATGAGGCCACCGTACGGAGCATACCTTTACAGATCAATTTATAATAAACAGATGAGTAGGGTCCGCAATTTTCTGCGCTCAATGAAAAATAAGAAGATCATTCAAAGAATCATCTAATCGCTAGACAGATATTTATAATATAAATGACAGCAGAGCTACGGCAGACCCACAAAAGTGGAGTGTACATATTTAAGTAGATGTCCAAGCGATCGTAAAGGCTTTACTTTCAAGCACATTTAAGAATTACCAGTATTAACGATAATAATGAGAAATAATTATATACATCTTTACGCTCGAATGTCGATGAACTGTCTAGAGACGGGACACTCTGTAAACAATAAATTTAAGAAAGTCAGGGTAACATGCTGTGAGAACAAACAAAAGGCTTCAATATATCGAAAATAATATGCAAAACGTAATGCGTAAAGTTGACAAGGTTTCTAGTAGACGGACTCAAACTTTTCAAAACCAAACTTTTTTTCGGACGAACCATCTACGCCAACATCCTACATGTGCCAAAATCTCCAAATCAGATCGGAAACGCCGGATTCTAGTGACGAATTTGTTCGAAGTCTACAGGTTAGGGACCTAAATTATGAATCGGCAATTTGAAGAGAAAATATTTGTAGGCCCACAAATTTTTTTGGCGAGTGGTAAAGATCTTTGAAGGAAAACTGAATGACCAGGAAAAACTTTTCTGACAATGTTCAGCGAATGTTGTCCCAAACTTTCTTGGAAACCATATACCAGTTAATTATAAATAAATACTAAATGAACATATAAAGTAATGCATTGGTCTGGTGGACTCTCATTTGGATTTCTTTCCGACAAATTTGGTTGTTGTAAGTAACGAACAATGTGAAAGATGCCAACAGGAAACAAACTTTATGGAAACGCGTTATCAAGAGAGTTCATGAGCGCAGGTATGCAGCAGCTTATTATTGTAGGGCACTTTGAAGAGATCTACGAAAAGCGAAATATTTACGAAAATCCTAAGCTTTTATTAGAAGTTAAGCAATGCTTTTTTTTAGAGGCAGATTTTTGTGTTTCTCTCTAACATACATATGCATGTATGTTTTAGCTTCCCAGCTAAAAATTTAAAATATGGAATACCAACAAATTGTGAAAAGGAAAGCAAAATTAATATGCGCCTGAGCTCAAGATTTTGTTCGAACATTTTCGAGCAACTGAAACATTTAAGCAACAAGTATTCGCGCACTTTTCGAACACAGGCTCTAGCAACTCGAGCTTTTTCGATTACTCTTGAACATTTTCCAGAAAAAAAAAATTACTTTTTTCTATAAATGTTCATTTATTAATGCAAAGTTAAAAAACCGCTTGAAATGTTAAAGTAATTTTTGGCCAGCAAAAAAAAATGGAAAATTTGAAAATTGAAAAACATTTGAGCAATCGAGCAACGAGCGAGTATCGGGCTGTTCGCTTTTCTGCATACCTTCATGCCCGGGTATTCAGAGCTCTAATATGTACACGTAGGGTTTTCGAAAATTTTTTGCCTATCGCTGTTTATGACCGAAAAATTCCTAGACTTTCAACTATCAATATCGTGTACGCTTATTTATTTGGCATGTATTTGTATTGTATTTGTAATTTAAGTGCTTATGTCATAATTATTTTCCCTTTGCGGTGCATAACATTCGGCAAATTCACCAGGCAAAAATTGGAATTTGATAAGAACACCGCTATACATTCATACATATGTATGTTCCAATGGTATGTGGTTTGTATTTCTATTGCTTTGAGCGCAAATACTTTTTTCCGCTTACAGGTGTTATTATTGCTGTTGTTATTTGATATTGATAAAAATTATCAATTAATTCTTAGATGATAGAAAAACAGGAAAATTGCTTTTTCGTTGATTAAAACGAAAAAATTTTTTAAACATTTTCGTATGCATGAAAGTAGCTGGAGAGCTGTAAGAATGTGCAAGAGGAGACGGAAATCTTAGAAATTCTCAGTAAAATCTTCTTCAAGATTTAATATTAGGTCAAATAAAAAGTCATCCATAATTTTTGCAACGGTTGGCTTTGGTAATTACGCTAGATGGCGTTGGAAAGATGATATTTTTTACTAAAAAAGATAATCGAAGAAGTGTTGAACACTCAACTGAACAAAGGTTGAGCGCATGCCAAAGAGAAAATTGGTATTTCTACAAGTTTTCTTCGATAAAAACGAAAAAACACATCAGGCAGCTGAAAATGTGAATAGTGTTTATGGACCTGATACTGTAAGGGTCTATCATGCATAATCGTGGTTTTGTCGATTTCGTGGCGGTGATTTTGATGTGAAAAATGCTCCATAGTGTAGAGAGCCAATTATCTAAAACATCGATAAAATAATGTGAATCGTCCGAGTCTGAAGTCATGCGAGTACTGTTTCAATTTACCAGGGATCTAAACTTTGCATAAAACACTTTGGAACCACTTGAAAGTGGCTGGATACACAAAACAACTCGAGGATATACCTTTTTGAACCAAATTTCCATCTGCGTATCGCTGCTGAACCGTAACAAAATCGATCCATTTTTGAAGCGGTTGGTGACTGGTGATGAAAAGTAGCTCATTCACCGTAACGTCAAACGAAAACGGTAGTGGTCGAAGGGCAGTGAGCCGGCACAAACGATCTCCAAGTCAGGATTGACGACCAGAAAGGGTTTCTTTGTGTGTTTGGTGGTTTCATTGGAAAGAAATCATGCACTATGTGCTGCTCCACTAGGTCCGAACTGTTAATTTAAACCTATACCATCATCAATTGACCCGTATGAAGGAAGTAAACGTCCAGAAGTGACTAACAGCAGGGGAATTGTGTTTTATCAGAACAACACTAGACCGCATACACATCGATAGTGATTCGGCAGAAGCTTCGAGAGCTTGATTGGGAGGCTCTTATGCAAACAGCTTATAATGCGTACCTCGCACCTAGTCATAACCATCTTTTACGGTCTATGGCAAATGATTTGGCTGGTGTAAAATCGGTCACAACAGTAAGCTGGGAAAATTGATGTTCTCAATTTTTCGCCAATAGGGATAAGAGAGAGACATAATAACATTATGCTGAAAATGGCAAAAAGTTATCGCGCAAAATGGCGCATGGTTGACATAAATCGATTTATTCCAACAATGGTAAAAAGAGCCTGCAAATAATGTATAACTTTTTACTACACCAATATATCTAAGTATTAAAATTGTGTGTGTAGTTTTTTTACTCCCATTACATACCTAATGACTCTCTATCGTACGATATATATCGTTTATACTGATATCTGGTAAAGTTCGAGTACATAGTCGCCGGCATATGCTAAGTGGAGCTGTGATATTTCGAAAAGAAGAACAATAACTATAAATTATGTAGAAAGCATTAAGCTGGTTTTATACACACACACACGCGCACAAACTTAATTTTGTATTTATATTTTTGGTTTTTTCTTTTAGTCCACTTGATTTATTTTAATGCTTTCTACGTTTCGTTTTTATTATTTTTTTATTTTTATTTTTATTTTTTTCTGACTTGCTGCACCATAAATCTATTATGGAAAACCATAAATTTGATTACGTATAAATTTTAATACTAGTTGTCCTTTGTTTTTTGTGTAAAGACGAGTACTGACCGCCGCGTCGTATTTTGATATATTCGTTATAAGCGTAGTTAACGCTGCGCGCAACCTAGAACCACTGAGCGGACCACTCTGGCAGGTTGGCAGTAGCCGTGATCTACATGGAAACATAAGTATATACAGAATTACATATGCATGTATGTATGTACTCGTACATTTGTAAATGAGTACCGGTAGGCACTTAAAAAGTCACAAAAGCACAACGCTCTTAAGTATCCTCAGCTTATCAGTAAAGCTACATACATACCATTAACAGTTAACGGTAAGGAAAATGAAAAATATTGTTAGCTTCTTAAAAAAAGTAGATTTTTATATATGTATGTATGTATGCAGGTGTGTGCTGTTAAAAATTTCTTAATCTTCAAATTAAATTACGTAAAAGCGTTGAAATTCTTCAAAAAAATTCGCCAGAATTTAAGCCCTTTCCCTCTGTTAGGTATGCTTATACGGGTAGAGTATTTTTATATGTATTTATTTATACATATATCCTCCATAGCTAAGTTATTTTTGCTTATCTAAAAGACTGCACTCCGCATATAACGATAAAAAAAGTGAACGCTTATCATTGGCGAACATTAAAAAGTGTTAGTAAAAATTTATCTTATCAATGGCATATACATACGCTAAGATGGGCTGAGAGATCGAGAGAGCGAGCAAGAGAGAGAGAGAGTGTATGTAACTGTGTTAAGGAGAGTAAAGTTGGCGCTGAGAGTTAACTTAAATGCAAATAAGTGAAGTCATCATATAGATAATACAAAAATTGTTAAAAAATATGTGCATATGTTTGAATGTACATACATATGTATAAATGAATTGATACAGTATTTTTGTAAAATTCAACGTTTGCCATTGTTATTTATTTATGTACGTGCATTTATTTAATACCTATTATTGTCCCAAAGGAATTTAAGTAATTTTGCGAAATTCTCAATCTAATTCTCTCTTATTATGAAAACAACAACAATAGTAAAAACAATAACAAATACAAAATATATATACAAATACATGCTATAAATTTATTTTTAGATACGAATGTTTAATACCACAATTTCTCGCTTTCAGATGCTTTTTTTTGAAGAATTTTTGAACCAAAACCTCTCACCTGAACATATTGCTCGTTTGGAGGCTATATGCATGTTATATGTTATATAATTCCGATTTTGATAATTTTCAGCACCAAATTTCGCGATCTCTTCGTTGCTTTTTGACAAATTTATGACGCAAATCTTAAATCTGAAAAGTCGGTCGTATATATACTATATTGATAGTGGTCCAATCTGGCTGGTTACGACCAAATGATCTTTGTACCAAATTTGCTTGATCTATGTACATATCTTCAAAACTGAGAGCTTAGTTTGCGATAAAAAACAAACGGGTAGACAAACAAGCAGACAGGCAGACGAATATGGACTAAATCCTCTCAGCTCATCATGCTATATATTTTGAAGGCTTCGAGGGATGCATCGATTTTGAAGTAAGCCGCTTGCTATATAAATGCGTACAAAATCTAAATCCACACGCACAACTTGGGTTCCACCAGTTAGACACCAGCTGTGATGAAAAGATTTTCAGAATCAGAAAATAAGTTGAGTGGACGATGCTTTTCCCATCAAGGCGGAGTTCTTCGAAATATCGCAGATTTTCGTCAAATGACGAAATGACGTCGTGATCAAAGATGCTTTTCATGGGCACCTGGAACGTATTTATGAGGGACTTTCCCGGAGACGATGTCGAATAGTGTTTAATGGAAACAGGTATCTTCTGTCCCATAGTCGGAAAATTCACACTCTATTACGGAACAACCCCGCACTGGTTGAGCTTCGAAATGTGGTTGTCCATTAAAATGCTATTAGTGCTCTGCATCAATCTCCAATCAACCTCCACTTTTAAAAGTGGCATTTACGACAGACAGACAGATGGTGTACTATGCGACTTGTATTCCAGCTCTCTTAGTGTCCATATCAGCAACGCGGTATAAAAGAGTTGTGGAACACGACTTTTAAAGCTCCATATGTACGACCATCAACGAGACTATCGACAAGGGGATGGTATGATTGGATTGCTGAGCCAAAGCAAAACAGACTTGATTAAAGCCGTTAAGCGAGTCTTTAGGTTAAGTGGCATTCATCAGCAAATTTTCAGAATATGGCAGGAAGAAAGCATGTCCGAGGATTGGAACAAATCCACAAAACATTCTGCGCCAATAACCGTGGGTTAAGCCTCTTCAAAATCGCAATAAGACTCTATCAAGCGTCTTGTGTGAAATGCTAAAGACCACCGTCAGCAAACATATTGGAACTCAGTGTGACTTTACACCTAGTAAATCAGTCTTTGACCAGATATTCGCCAAGAAAATTCAGCTACCTTTATGCAGCAAAGCTTTCAAAGCTGTTCAGGCTGAAATTAAGCAACATCAAGAGCTCCGTCAGGATCGGGAAGGACTTCTCCAAGCCGATCGATACTAAACGAGGATTCCGACAAAATTATACTTTATCGTGTGACTTCTTTAATTTATTGTTAGGGAATATAATACGAGGTGCACAGCTAACCAAGGAAGGTAGAATCATTTATAAGAGTGCACAGCAGCTGGCGCCATGAGTTTTGCTTTCTCCAGACTATATCCAACAGATCTCAGAGATGGAATTCGTGAAGCCATCGAGGACGTACAGCAGCCATTCTGCGATTTGATGTTAGAAAATTTCATATAAGGGATACAATCCGGTAAGCTTAACCATTTCGCCCATTAGGACGATATTGTTATCCATTGTCAATGGCATAACTTTCTCTTTACGTTGAAAGAAACATGTGCCTCAAAAGATGCCACTTTTATTTGAATATCAAAATAATACCTCTTATTGGAAAAAACTCGTAGTATTAAGCTTCAATGTTAATGTACTACATAAAAATTACAATTCGAGTTCTGTGAATAAAAATTAATTATCGCAAATTTTAAGAAATGTATTTAAAAATACATTTATAATCTACTTTTAATCAGCGCCTACTTTTATTGAACACTCCATGGTTATCTACGCGCACGATTTTTTTGAAAACTCATTACATGTACATATATACAAATTCTGTTATCAAGCTGCTTAAATATAACATACAAATATAATATATCACCATTCGATTGCAATATATGGTCAAAAGCAGGCCAATGCAGTCAATAATGAAAAAGTGTAGTCTATTTTTAGGCGGATAAGTAAGTAATTTTCACGGAAGTCAAATAATATTTAAATATGAATGAATGAAAGAATATATTAGTATAAATGAATTTTATTTGCTATACCTAAGATAAACAAGTCCACCCAGAAGTACGCTTGTATGTAATGTACGTGAAAATATGCCTGCTTGTATATTTATGATCTTGAGGCTGTTTTCATTACTCATTTCAACACAATTGCCATTTCATGGCTATAAATATTGTTCTAAAATATATGTACATACGTATGTTTGTATTTGGTCTGTACATGTGCTTGAGGGCGTATGAATGGCTGCAACGCCATGAGTATTTTTAGGCTCATCATTCATTCGAAAAAAGAAGGCAAATGGAAAGAGAAAGTAATAACTTCATACATTCGTTAGCACTGCACACATGGAAAATGTTTTTACATTTTGTAAATAAACAGTAAATTTTAATACAGAAGTTGAAATACATACGCTTTCATATACATAAGTATGTACAATCGCGTGGCATATGCCCAGAGCATCATAAAATGTTGCACTAAAAATAGAAAAGTGCAAAATCAGCTGCAACACTTACGAAATGTGGCAGAATATCCTACAAAGGTGCGTACGCAAGTACATACATATATACGCTTGGGTACTCAAAATGTATGAGTTGCACTTGCGCAGTTCCTGCTTTACAATATGTGTACAATGTGTGCTGGTTTTATGACTTCCACGCTTGGCAAGTAAGCAATGCCTGAAAGGCTATGGACTCATTAAGTATTTAGTAGCTAGTCGTAAAGGAAATTTTTTGAGAAAATCATTTAGGGAAAAAGTGAGTGGAGTTTTGTGCTAAGAAAAGATGCAGGAAAATGCACTGAAGAGTGTACGTATTTTGACAGCTGCTAAAAATACTACTTTAATAGCACTGGAGCATATTTAATATGCTAGTTCTAGTTCTACAAGTATTACTAGAGAAAATTAAGAAAAAAATAGTAATTTCTAATTCTGTTAAACATACACAGCTGCACTCATTTGGAAGCAAAAAATAATAATAATAATTCGAAAATAACTAAATTTTTATAGAACACAATTTCGATCTAGTTTTTTAAACTAAAATCATTTTTATTGTATAAGGAGGTAGAAATCTTAAACAAGTTTTGTATAAAAACTTATAATTAGAAGCTAAATTACAATACCTCTAACGGTAAGCTCTACCTAACAAGGTTCGCATAATAAATTGATATAAAAAAGTTTTCACGACAAATATATGCTTTCAAAAGATTTACTAACATAACCGAAGGTTTGGCCGAAAACAAAAAAAAAAATGCATCATAATAGCAGGGAGTGTGCGCAAACGCCTATGAAATTTAATTAATGTGCTTATAAAAATTTACATATAAAATTATAATTCATATCTGAACACGAGAGGCGAATTATATCGAACAAAATAAATAAAACAAAATGGAATAAAATTATTTGAAATAAATAATAAAAAAAAATTAAAAAAAGAAAAATTAAATTAAATTGAAAAAAAAGTTATTATAAAATTGCAATAAAAGATCAAGTAATTAAATCAAAAAATTAATCTAAATTTCTGTAATTATAATTTAAGTATTATTAATAATATCTAATTAAGAACGAGAAATAACAATTGAGGATATCAAAATTTAATAAAAATAAAATAAACTTAATTCAGAAAAAGTTAAAAGAGAGGTAAATACAAGTTATAATAAAAATATTACAGTAAAATAAAAAAATAAAATGAGCTATTGTGAAATAAAATTATATAAAATTATAAAGAATTATAAAATAAATGAAAAATACAATTTATAAAAAAATGGAAGGAAAATAAAAAAAATATTGAAATGAATTAAATTCAATCTAAATAAAATAACATAAACTAAAA